GAGGGGCTTTGGGGAGAAAAAGGAAAAAAATAAAATCTTTAAAAAAAAAAAGAAACAAATCCAGGGGCCCGGCCCCGTGGCCAAGTGGTTGAGTTTGCGTGCTCCGCTTTGGAGGCCCAGGATTTCACCAGTTTGGATCCTGGGCACAGACATGGTGCCATTCATTGGGTCATGTTGGGGCGGCATCCCACATGCCACAACTGGAGGGACCCACAGCTGAGATATACAACAATGTACTGGGGGGATTTGGGGAGAAAAGGCAGGAAAAAAAAAAGAAAATACAAAAATTATAAAAAAGAATATTATTAAAAAAAAGAAACAAATCCACTGGTATCCTCGGTTAAAAGGCCAGCTCAGATTCCAGAATCCCAATTCATTTAGACTCTCAGATTCTTTCCCAAAACACTATTAGTAGCCTACGTAGGAGTCAATGGCTTCTCCCTGTGTTCAAGTCCCCTCCTACTCATCCACCCCCTTTCGGAAAAGAGCCACCAGTCTCCAAACTGGCTGATAAAATTTCAGCCTACAGGATATTTTCATACTTGAGTTATAATAAACCATTGAAATGAAGATGAATAGTGGACAGCTTAATAACCCATTGGCTAGAGCATCTGAAGTCCAGTATTAGGATACAAAGTCCACATTCTTTAAACTAGGCCAAAGCCAAATACATATAGTGATATATATACATATATATCTCACCATTAAGTCTCTATTTCTTTGAGTTACTCTATAGTATGGAGGGTGGAGTTGATTTTTTGCCTGGCCCTAACTGTCCACTTTAGTCATCTGCTTGCTAACTAAAAGACCTCCTATTTGCATTCAAGCCAGAATTCAGTAATTCAGTACCAGGCTCTACTCCGTCCCCTCTATTACTCCCAGGACTGCCTAGGAAGCTCTATTCAGGATAGTTCTAACGATCCATCTACCCATGCTTCTTAAGTACTAGAACCCAAAACAGGTGACAAGTTCTCAATTTCTGATTCATTTTTCCCCAACACTAAAAGGTTTCATTTAGCATTTCTAATACTGACTTCACTACAAACAGCCTAAGCAACATTTAAGTCTCTCTATCGCCTTGCTCAAAGGGCCAATTCACTCAAAGAACACACTAGTCACTGTTGAGCAGTTCAAAAGAAGAAAACAGCATATTCTTTCTATTTCTGAGCCCACTGTGACATGGCTCAAGAGGGCCAAATCAAGGAGTCGTCTTGATTGGGCCTTTCAAGTGGACAATCTGGTCAAGGTGAGGCTGAAAAGCAGTTGACTATTGGAGAAGAATGGCCCCAACAGAAGGCAAAAGTAGGTTACATCCCTTGGTTACGTGCCAGCCAAAAGATGCCGACATAGTGGGATTGGTCCCACAATGGTCATTTATCTAATATAATCCACTGAGTGAACTTTTAGCACTGAACTACACCTCAGCTGAGTGTTATTAGTCATCAGGCAGACCAGACAAGAGTGGAAATATTGCAACATAAACCCTGCCTCCCTACAAAAAATAACTTCAAACTTAGATCTTGATGGGCATCTTTGTAGACCAAAAGGGGCATATTATTATCACTTGCCCAACCTTCAACTCTAAATTCACACACAACTGGAAGCAAAGGAGGACTCATAAACTAGAATACATTTGGGGCATTTATTATGCAATTTTAAATAGCATCACATAAAACAAAATCCTGTAAGGAAAAAGGTGTGCCCTCAACTGAACATTCTGCTGAATTCTGAACACGTAGCTTAAGATTTATCTGCCAGAAAAGCCCCAGATGACCACAGCTGACTTCTCCCTCATTTTCAGCAGGATGACTTTTTTTTTATTACAATAGTCCAACAGTACCTGCAAAGTACTAAGTGATAAGACTGTAGGAAAGGCAACAGAATTAATCAAAAAGGAGGATCGATTTCTTTTTCTTTTTCTTATTTTGCCTACCTATTCTGAGCCCGGCCTCCACTTCCCTGACACTTTTCACTCTCCCCTTAGCTCACTAGGCTCTGGCTATCACTGCCCCGGCCTTCCCTGTCCTCCCCCACCGTCCACCCTACCCCTTTCTTCTCACTCCCCAGAACCTGCCAACCTCAATCCAGCTAGTTTTGCACTAACTAGTCCCTGAACCTAGAGGGCTCCTCCCCTATCTTTGCATGGCTGCCTCCTTTTTATCTAAAGCTCAGCTTAAGTGTCACCTCCTCAGACAGGTCTTCCTTGACTGAATCCTAGTCAGACACTTTCTATCACATCATTCTTATTTTCTTCAGCACTTAACAAAATCTGATTTATCTGCTTATTTATTATCTGTCCCCATCCCCAACTCCCCTGTAAGCTCCATGAGTGTGTGGACCTTATGCTTGTGTTCACCTTTTTACACCCAAGTACCCAAAACACTGGCTAGAACTTAGTAGCCAGTTAACAAATGCTTGTTAAGTGAATGAATTTTGGACTTTTTATTCAATGGTTCCAAATCAATTAAAGTGAGAACAGTAGTCATTCTTTTCTTTTGTTGCATTTCTGTGAAACGTCTAAACATGCTGTTACTTGTACAATCAAAGCACTTAATATTTTGTTTTAGCCCTGATGAGTAGGATGGCACCCCTTATGATAATTCTTCTAGGAATATGCACATAAACTCAGTTACAAAGGGACAGGATTTATGGATACTTTCTAAGCAAAGGATCCCTAAAATTTAGGCACTATCTCTTAAAGTTCTTCAGAAAACACAGTTCCAGATTCAACAGAGGATTTCCAAAGAAAACATCAACATCAAAATAGGAATCATTACACTTCACTCTGAAATCCCTATGACTGGCTAAAGGAGCATACTTAGCGTTTTAAACCAACATAGCATCAACAAAGAACCTTCTTTCCAATCATTCTTTGCTTTCTTCAAATAATTTTTTCACATCCATTACTGGTTTGTATTCTTCTTTAAAACGAAACTAAACTAAACAGATCACATTGTCTCATTTAGGACCATCTATACACAAACAATCAGCTAAATAAATAAGATGGAAATCAGCACAAGCCGAATGTGTCACTGAAGACTTGTGTGCCAGACACACAAATGGAGAAAAAGATAAAAGAGCTATTGTCCAATTGTAAAAACAAAAAAGCAATATCAAGTTTTCTGTTCTCTGAAGTGCATCATGAAGTGTGGGTGGAGAGAAACACAGAAATCCAGAATTAGCCTAACATCAAATCATTTTGGAAAGAGTTGACAACATGTAAATTCCTCACACAAAGTATTCAGAGCAAGAGATCTTGATTCCTGGGCTATGATGCCATTTAGGAATCCTTGCAAGGGCTTTGGAATTCCAGTATTCGTAGGAGAAAATGCTCATTTTAATCAGGAGCTAGCAGGTATTGAGAGGTACTCCCAATGTGACACAGCCTGTAACTGGAGTATTATTACAAAGTGTGCAGTTAAGATCCGGGATAGAGGCTGAATGCCAAATTCAAAAGAGGTAACCAAGGTACCAAGTACCATGAGGAAAAAAAGAAAAACGAAACCACGACGTCTAGCACCTAGCCACAGAAAATTAAAATGGAAAGGAGTGATGTGTATGAGGGAGGATGAGGGGTGAGAGGGAATGGAAAACAATACATTTGTCACCCCGTCCCACTTCCTATACAGGACACAGGCAAAGCCTCCAGCCCAATTACCTCAAGCACAGACGGTTATCGTTTATAGCGAAGGTGCACAGAAAGGCCTTCAGGTCTGAGCCCCTTAATTCCAGGGCTGTTAATGATTAAAGAGAAGGATGGGGGTGGGGAGGGAAATGAGAGCGGAGGGAGCTGGAGATTCACCCACCACCTCCCGCTTGGGCTCCTACCTCACAGCGCTTACCCGGGGCATAGGACCGGAGACTGCACCCCTTCCAGGGCAGCTCCGGCCCCCAGACCCCCAGGCCCTGGGTTGAGGGGTGCTGGCGGTGGGGAGGCAAGGACAGTGGGTAAGTTTTCTGAGCTCCGCGGCTGACACGCCACAGGCTCCCCTCGCAGCCTCCTCTTCCAGAGGGACCAGTCCAGACAAGGCGCTGATTTCCACTCCTCTCCTTCCACCCCGCCCCCATTCTCGAAAGTACCCAACCCCCGCCCCTTCATCTCTCAATGCCCCCCCTTTTCTCAACCTCCCCCTCCCCAAACTCACAGCTGCTCCAGAGGTTCCTCCAGTCAAACCCTTTCTGGAAACGACGGCGGCCCGGCGGGTCCAAACCACCTACCATCCCCGCTCGCGTTTCCAGGCTCCCTACCCCCGCCGCCTCCGCCTCTTCTTCCACCACTGCCGCCGCCTCCTCTTCATCTGCGGCCCACCGGCGGCGGCCGCCCCGAAGCCCCGCCCCCTCCATCGCCTCCTGCATCATCACTTCCGGTAACCCCGCAGGCCGCCCGCTCCAGGCGGGAGAGTAGGAAAGGGGTGGGGAGCGAACGGGTGGAATGTTGCGTCACGACGTACGCAAACACGTACGAAGCCGTCGCCAAGTAAGGGCAAAGACCTAGCGACCGGGAGGGAGGGCTAGGAGCTGCTGGACTGGACCATTTTTTGGCTGGAATGGGGGGGGAAGGATAGCGAAAGGGGTAAAGGGAAAATAGGGAAAGGATGAAGTGGGCTACATTGTTGAGTATACGGCAGAGGGTGGGCTAGAGTTTGAAGTTGAGGGAGGCTCGAGACTACCCCTGACCCGGGACTATGCTCCCACAGAGGTTCGCCCGGTGGTTTGATCTGGCCTGGCCTACCGGACCTGCCGGAGCTCGGTGGACTGCGGCTCAGCTGGGCTCCTGGTGCCGCCTCCTCCCCGCACGCTGGGGGCTGTGGCACTTCTGTGGGTGGGGAAGGCAGGACTGACGCAGAGTGAGTGTAGGGGATGGAGACGCTGACTCCTGGCGCGGGAGACTGGGGGAAGGGGTTGGCTCCTCAGGGGCAGGGGTGGGGTGGGGGAGGGGAGGTGCAACGTTGCTAGGAGACGCGCTTGTGTGACCCCAGCCTCTCGAGGGCGGCTCAGTGTCATCCCCATTGGCCTCGGGAACCTGCCGAGGGAAGCGGCCCGAGGGCCAAGAAGGGGAGGCCTAGTTTGGGGGCGCTGAGATGCCAGTTTGGGGTCCATCTGAGACTTTTCTGCATCCTTTGGATCCCCGAATGTATATGAGAGATTAAAAGGGGCAATGCTGGGGGCTAGAGGCGTCTTGCTGGCGAAGGCTGACCCAAACGAAGCCCCATACAGAATTCGGAGACTTTTTAGGACAGTGAGCACCAGCTTGTTAATTTCCTCAGTCCATAGAAGGGTGCCTTGCTTCGTGACTTTTTATTCGAGTCCAGGAGAAAGTTAAAAAGTAAATCAGTAAGGAAGATATCAGCAAGTGAGAAATGCCCCCGAAGACAGTCATACCGGGTGATGTCCTAGAAGATGGGGGGAGGGCCACTCTAAATCAGGTAAGGCTGTTCGGAGGAGGCCAGGTTTGGCGGAGATCCGAGAAAAGGGGGAAGTTGAGGAATGAGCTTTATAGGTGGAGAAAAGATTCAACGGGAAGGGTTAAGAGGAAGGAAACGCGAGAAGGCCAGATGGCTTGGAGCAGAAAGAACAAGGGCCAGAGTGGTCTGTGATGAAGTGGCGGGGCCTGATCAAGTCGAGACTTTTAGACCAAGGTAAGGGTTTGGCTATTAGGTTACCAGAGGGTTTTAAGAAACGGAGTGACCTGATCTGGTTTACATTTTTTAAGAAATCACTCATGGTTGCTGGATAGAGAGGGGAAGAAGTAGTCAAACCTGTTAGGAGGCTGTTACTTTAGGCCAAGAGAGAGGTGCTGGTAGTGTTGCAGTCTTGGTGGAAATGGAGAGAATTCAATTCAGAATGTATTTTGGAAGTAGAGCTTGCAGGACTTGCTGCCGAATTGGATGTGAAGTGTATGGGAGAGGAAGGAACCAATGAGCACTCCTAAGGGAAAATAGGTTAGAAGAGAGTATCATAAGTTCTCTTTTGAACATATTAGGTTTGATAAGTCTATTAACCATGCAGGTGAAGATGTTGAGAAGTTAAATATTCGAGTTAGGGGAAAAGTCATAATCAGATAGAATAAACGTAGGGGTTTATTCCTAGGTCACCTAAGAAGAGGGTGTAGATAAAGAGAAAGGCCGCTGAACTCCTTGGGGCTCTTTAAATTTAGAGATTACGCAGAGAAGGAGAAACGAGCCAAAGGGACACAGGCAAGGCCTCGAAGATAAAAGGAGGCCCCCTTAATATCCTGTAATAATGGGACCCACCCTCATAATTAGTGAGACTCATCCTCCCAATAGCCAGCTTCTACTTTCCTCTAAAGCCTGGCTCAAATCTCTTCCCGCCCTCCCTCTCCTAGTTGTCAGTGCTTTAGGACTTCTGTGCCGCCGGTGATTTGTGTCCATTATAGCAAGCCTGACTTGGCTGGTTAATTGTTTATTTGTCTGACTCCCCCATGGACTATTTCTTCTTTGTGTCCTACTGGCTCCTAGTACAGAGCCTTGCCCATAGGGCCCAACACGTGGTTATAGCTAGGTAGGAACACTGTGTTCATAAGGTATCAGTCCTGGACTTCAACATCTTCTGATAAAGGGGCTTTTGTCCCTGCTACTGTTACCACTGCCACCACAATTGACATATGGTCAATCTCATAAAATCTAGAAAGGGCATCAGAAGACGAATAAGAAGGCCTAGGTTTGAATCTTGGATCTGCTACTGACCAGCAGAGTGGCCTTGGATAAGGCCTTTTTCTGTGAGCTGGGGGGGGGGGGGGGGGGGGGGGGGGGTTAGCCTAGATTAGAGATTTCAAACTGGTAAAACACATATTGCCTGCAAACATATTGTTCAGCCCACAAAGTGATTTAAATTATTTTTTAAATTTACTTGCCAACATTTAAAAATTGGACATCAAAATCCAGATTTTCAGCTTCATTTGAAAATGAGACAATCTGGCAACACCAGCCTGAGGTTCCTACACAGCAACAGTCAACTGGAGCAAATGAGCTACTTCCCCCTTTGTCTGTAGCTCAATGCTCAAGTTTGTCTCTCCCTTCCACTACCTGCCTGACCCCTGTGGTCATTTGATTTGCAGTTCTTGGTCTAGAGCTATGCTGTCCATCTGTAGCCACTAGCTTCATGCAGCTATTTAAATTTAATACAATAAAAATTTTAAATACAGTTCCTCAGATGCACTAACCATGTTTCAGGTGCCCAGTAGATATGGCCAGTGGCTACACTGTTGGACAGCACAGATATAGAATATTTCCATCATGGAAGAACATTCTATTGGTCAGTGCTGGACAGGAGGAATTTGAAGGTACTCTGCGTGCTAATCATTGCACGTGTGTAAAGATGGACAATCACTGCTCCTACTCTCAAGGAGTTTTGTCTAGTAAGGAGTTCCAGGGCCTCTGCAGATGAGAGAACTTTCCTGTTTGATAGCTGTTTGATAGTTGGAGGGTACTTCGAAACTGTCATGAAGGCAGGGACTCCTGTGCAGAGCAAGGTTATTTATCAGATGTTTTGATCAAGGGTCAGGTGCTAGAAAGCACCTATATCTAATGTTATAACTACAGCCCTTTTATCAGTTTCCTAATTCAGTTCCTTAGGAAGTTATCACAAAGGAAGGATTTAAGTATTAATTTAAATTTAAGTGTTTTGTGTTATCTAACTTCCCTAGTTCCTATGAAGGGTTGAACACACACACACACACACACACACACACACACACACACACACACACACACACACACACCTCTAACACCACCTCCTATTCCCGTAACTGGTTCTCACCACCTCTGATTGACCCTTACCTTGTCTTGTCTTTTCAAATATACTGATAAGGAGACAGATACTTCTATTTCTTTTGAACTGAGGGACCAAAACTTGGTTTCCAAAAATAGCTATATATCTCTTAGTTACAGTAGCCGATTGGAGTTCCCCTGACTAGTATAATCATGAATGTGCTCTTGTGCTGTTATATTTAGAATGAGTGTTCTTGCCTCATATGATCTTGTTTGAGATAGTTTAGAAGTCTTTCAGACACCAATATTTTGGGTTTTCCCTGTGTTCTGAAGATTTCCCATACTACAGGGCCTAACCTAATTTCTTTTAAGTAAAATAAAAATACCATCTACCTTCCCCTCCCTGCCCTCTATCTCTGACACACCATATTGTCACTTTCTATGTAAAAAAATGCTGTTTCAGAGAATAGCTGTGGTATGATTAAGTACTCTGCACAAGCATATCCTGAGATTTGCAAAACCGTGTGTGGCATTACACTTCCTTTTTTGGATTCTAGTAACCAAAAACTGAATCTAGAACAGGAAACAAGTCCATGAGGGGGGTGTGTGTGTGTGTGTATTCATGGAGGGGAGGAAGAATAGAGGAGAGAGGTGTTGGGGCACAGTTTAGCTTAAAGGTTATTTGATTTGGGTAAGGATGATACTGTATAGGATATGGATGTACACCAGAAAGTAGGGAGTATAAGAGATCTAGGAGAAAAGTGCTCCAAAAGATAAGCAAGAAGTAAGAGATAAAGGAAGAAAAATAGGAAGAGAAGCCTGGTCATGCCTTTGGTGTTGGCACCTGCATTGTGTTTCCAGTAAGAAGTACGCGCTGTGGTCTGGAGATAAGCAGTGCCTCCAACAGGGTTATTTACTCATCCTGAAGAACAATAGCCCTCTGCTGTACAGTGATTATTAACGATCGGAGGGAAACAGCTTTAGGAAAATCCATTACTACCACAAAGCAATAAATTTGCCAACAGGCAACAAATTTCTTTTCCCTCCTCTGCGGACAAAGCTTAGCATAAAAGAGGCCTATTGTTCCTCCTTTATTCCCTTCTATTGAGGTAAGGTTTGCCTTTGCTAATTCCCAATGCTAAATGATTTACATGGATTATCTCATGAATTATCCTTTCAACCTTTGCAGAAGGTTCTAATGTTACCTCATTTTACATTTTAAGAAACTGAGGCTCAGGAAGATTAAGAATTTGCCCAATGTGGTGAAGTCTGGATTCAAACCCAGGTTTGACCGCTCCAGAGCCCATTAGTTGATTGTTTGTATTAAATCTCCTGTTCCTTACATATGTGGAAAAACTCAGAATGCCTAAAACCAAGACAGTTATTCTCTATTCTGCTGTTGGGGCAAGAAAATCTGTTTGCCTTGGCATTATGAGAGCATTCAGTTACATAAAGGTTTTCCAAATGATAAAAGCTTTAAATTACAATTTTGGGGGTTGGTTTTGACCCGTGATCATTTGGGTGCAATGGACCTTATTCCCCAAAATGATTGTCTTTCAAGAAAAAAGTATCAGAACTGCATTTTTCTCATGGTTCTAAGCTTCATGGAAGCATAGTAAATCATTTTGTTCCAGTGGACAAACCCTAACTGGTCTTAAAAGAACTTAAGAATGAGGGTTACATTATAGCTGTGTAGCTTATACTGCCCTGTGTGGAACTGATAAGGCCTCCTCCCCAAATAACACTGAGTCCTCAGTTCTTTATCCTGATACCCACAGTACTACCCTTGAAAACATCATTGTGAGGGTTAATTAGTATTTTAAAATGCTCTAGGGTCTTCAGGGAAACTTGGTCCGAGTGCCACTGCTTATGGCTCAGGATGAGAATGGGCATTACTGGTGACTATTCTGTGTGCGTGAATTTATTATTCCAATAAATATATTTCAAGCTCCAATTATGTGCCAGGTCTAGGAGTGTAATGAATGAGACATAGTCCCAACCTTCTTTTCCCCGCCACTCCCCTACCAAAACACACACAGTGGAGGAAGAAAGGTAAGTCAAGCAGAAAATTACAGGAGAGTAGGATGAAAGATGGACATTATGATAGGGGTATGCTAGAGGTCCCCAGGGTACACATAGCAGGGATGCTGACCCAGTCTCAGTGTAAAGAAGAAGGTACCCTGTGAAAAGTGATGGAAGCCAAAGGATGAGAATCAACAACTAAGCAAAGAAAGAATATTTTGATTGTGTGAGTTGCGGCCTTCATTTGGCAAAACTCAGATCTAAGGAGATAGGGCAGCAGGACATGGGACAGGCCCCTACTGGTGCACAGTGAACACATAAGGCAATGATTTTGCTTGTGTGAGTTTCACAATCTCCACCCTCTCCCCCCCTTAAACCCCGCACCAAAAAAAAAGTAAACTAAAAGTAGTTGGGAGAAAAATTGACTACGTTACATTATTGGTTATAATGAGAGAAAAAAAAATTCCACTTAGGGGCAGATCTTGAAAGAATGGAAAGAGTCTTTCCTTCCACCTGGGGCCTGAAAGTCCGTTAATTCCCCTTGCCTTTTCTGTCCCTTGTTTATACTGCAGCACTTCTTCAGTAGAGAGGAAAGCCTCATGAGAGCCCAACATTTGGAATTTTGACATTCCTGAGACCAGAGTCATACTTCTATAAATTTCATCTGGGGAAAG